GAGGGGTGTGTGGGGGAGGTGTCCAACCACAGCCTTTGCAGCCATAAACTCAGAGGCCTCTTGCTGCAGGCAGAGGAACTACCATATAATTTGTATTTGTGCAACTGAGTGCAAAACCTGGGCTGAGACCTTGGAGTCGCGGCGCCTGGCCTCCATCCCCAGCTGGACACCCATCTGCTGTGCAGCCTTGGGTGAGTCACACCACCGTGCTGAACACTGGCTTCCTGACCTGCTCGGGAGAGGAGGAATTTTCCCACCACCACCTGCAGATGCCCAGGGAAGCATCAGCTGAGAAGCTGCATACAGGCTCCTCCTGGGCACTTGCTTCAGCTCCTGTCTTGAAGTTGCAATAAAAGCTCATCAAATCCCAATTTCTGTGCAGGGCTGGAGGAAGAGGTGGTGAAGCCTGTCTGGGCACATCATCTGGGAGACCTTTTTGGAAGGGTGTTTTAAAGCATGCCAAAGGCCCTGGGTACTGCTGAGCACTGGGAGCTTTCCCCAGTGATGCGACAGGCCTTGTTGCTGGGGATGGAGAGGTGGCAGCGGGGCTTTGTACCTCAGCAGAGGGATAGCCCCTGCTTGCTGGCTGGAGTGAAGTGAGAAAGTCTGCTGTGTGAGGGGGAGGAGGCGAGTGGTCCTCTACACCTTCCTGCAGAGGAAAAGATCCTGGTAAGTTGTCAACAGGGAACCAGCACGTAGCGGCTGCTGATGTTTTTCTCTATAGGCCTGATCAACTCTGTGTCTCACTAATTCCACTCCAAGCCTTTGTCTTTAGGTCCTTTACTGGTGGCAAGGCAAGAAGAAGCACTTCTGCTCCAAGAGACTCAGCATTAACTGCTGGGAACATATTGCTGTCACCCCAGATTTTTCCCCTACCTTGTCAGCACGTTGACATGTTTGGGATTTGAGGCACCCGATTTAATGAAAATCCTTTTAATTCCCCTCTGAGTCTTGGCACTTGGAAAATACACGTCCCACCCGCTTGCTCCTACCAAGCAGTGCATAGCATCTTGAAAGATGTAGGACTGGTGGGGTTTCCACTGCAACATTGTGCTGGTGGAGAGCTTGCCTTATTAGGCTACCATTTAGTTGATTGTGTTTAATCAGCCTCCTGATGCTGCAGCTGCTCGACAGAAAGAGCTTGGGAAAAAAGATGGGAAGAATTGAAGTCAAGAAGTCCAGCAGGTCAGCAAAGTGACCTGCGAGTACATGGGAGATAGAGGACCCCTTCATATTTTGGGAAAAGCAGTGATCTGTTTCCAAATCTGGTGACTCGTGGATTCAGGAGATAATGTCCTGTCTCTAAACCCTGTGTGTGAACAGAAACCTCCAGCTCAGCCCAATTTGGGGTCCCCTAACTATATTGATGGCCCTGCTTTTCTTGAACTCTTTTTTGTCGCTTGAATGACTGCTGGGAAATGCAGTTGGAGGAGCAGAAGATAGCCTATGTGACTATCCTACACTGTATTTTTAAGGGTGTAAAAATACAGCACCTCATAGGTATTTGTGCCCTTATATTTAATCCTGTGTTTTTACACAACCTTTCCAGTCACTTCCAGAATGTTGATAGCTGAGTCTCTAAACAACTGTGCAACAAACCTGATCACAAAAAGCATGGAGCCTCCACAGCTCTTGCTGAGTTGATCAAATGCTGTAGGTGTTCAGCACCATTGCCACATGAGGCCCAACACAGCCAAAACAGCAGTGGTTTCCTCTCTGTGCCTGCAGTCAGCAGGAGTCTCTTAGTCCCTCACAGTTCCTCCAAGCTTGGGGTGAGCTCAGAGCCTGCCTATAGATATATCTGACATCAGGAGAGGGATATACTCATCAGTGAAGCTGTTTTGGGGAAGGAGGAGACTGGACAGAATTTGGGTTTGGCCCGAGAGGCCTTGGTGAATATTATCTTCTGTACAGACCTAAATTAAAAGCAAAGGCAAATAGAGCAAGGTTTCCACTCTCCACTACCTGCAAGCCTCACTGCTTTTTGAGAAAGGACTAACCACAGAGGAGGAGGAGGGAAGCTGTGTTATCACAGCGCTGTGGTGGTGGGCTGTGATTGCGGCACAGATACTTGCACCTCTGGGAGTAGGAAAAGACCAGCCAAAATGTCAAACCTAGGTCAGCAAATCGCCAAAAGGCTGTCGTCATCCTCATTTTTTCTGAGAGGGAAGCCCTAGAGGGGCAAGCCTGTGATGACAGACACCTTTACCTGCTTCTCATGGCCAGGAGCGTTCTGTATGCTACATACCTTTTGTGCTCCTTCACAAATTCTACCAGCTCCTCTTCTGTGTAAGGCTTATCAGGGATGTGAACAGGCTCATCCATAAATGGTTCATAGAAGTCCACCTCGTTCATCTTCAGACCTAGTTTCTTGGCAACCTGTTGTGGTGCAGATGGTCAGAGGTCAGTGAGTCTGATGTGCCTCTCTGCCTACCCAGAGCCTCTCCCAGTGGCAGAGCTGAGGTCAAGGTACTTGCTCTCTCTCGGAGCATGCACTCTTAGGGGTGGCCAACAAAATATGAATGGATCTTACCCTGGTTGAAAAACCACTGATGCTCTCTACAATACTGATCTCAAGCACTGGGGCAGAGCAAGGCCAGAGTCAAGGTCCTGCACACCCAATGGGCCTGGTTTCCAAACCCAGGTCAGGACCTGTCTCCACACTGCAGAAATGGCTTTTTATCTTGCAACAGGGCCAAATCCAAATGTAGACACCAATATCACAAATTACAGGAACACTGAAAATGAGAAGCTGGAGCCTAATATTAAATCTGGGAACATCCTAAGCTTCTAGAAAACAGGTGGTGGAGTCTGTGGGGTCCCATGGAGGTCCATGGATGCTTACCCCTTTGTCGAAGGTGGCAAAGAACTTGATGTACGGCTGGAAGTGTTCGGCAGCTTCTTCAAATGCCTTATAATCTGGAAAGAGAAAAGGGGAATGAAGAAAAGATTTCACAGACAGCTGGCCACACTCTGATCAGCACAGAAGGCAACAGGGCAGAACAAAATACATCAGATAATGGCGCTATGTTTCTTCCACCCTTCCAGGGTTTACAAACAAGGACCATTTCACAAAACTGTTCTATGATTCTATGATTCTATGTAGAGCCAACAGGACACATGTTGTGCAGCCCCACAGTGCTCAGGAAAACTATAGATCCCGGCATGCCATGCTTAACTGGGGCTGAAATCAGCAGCCCTGTGAAGTAGGTCCAGGCATTAAAATTCTAGCCTGTTGATAAGGGTGTTTGCAGCTGCCCTTTTACACAAGCAGTAGTTCAGTCTGTGAAATACATGGAGTTGCTCCAGCATTAATGATTGCTGGCATTCCCTAAACAGTCACCAAGTGTGATTAGGCTCCTGCTGCAGGAGAAGGGGGCAGAAACAAGGTATGTTTTTACTGTTACTGGTACCAGGTCCTCAGCTGAGGTCAGGAAGGAAGCTCTCAGCCTGGCAGGAGCTCTTTATGACAGATATTTCCCACCTTTCTTCAAAATACCTACTACTGAACAGCGTTAAGGTCACTGCCCTGCCCAAGATGCCCTGCAGCCCATTTTGAGTGGAGGAGAAAGCTGAAGGGAGAGGTGGATGGGTTGCTGTGGTGCATCAGACCTGGTGATACACTGCTTGTTCAGGTAAGAATACCTGTCTTTTTGCTAAAGGCGAGCCTTGCAAGTAGGGGTTGCATGCTGCCAGCACTGCCTGGAGAGCAGGGGGAGCAGTCGGGGCTGGTGGAGGAGACTGCTGGGGCTTGCCAGAGAGAGTCTCAGGTGAGGGTTTCTCAAGGCTTGTGCAAGTTGATGGCTTTGCCTGGAATAGTCCCTGAGTTGCACATCCCCCA